GCGCTCCCGCCACACGTTCCGCGCCTGGCTGCGACACGGGGCTGGGAGGAGCCGCCCGGGCGCAGCGCGCGGCGTCGCCGCCGTCTCTTAAGGAGGCTCCCGGCGGCGGGAGGCGGCCGGGGCGCCCCCCGGGGCAGCCGCCCCACGCGGGGACGGGGAAGGACTGCGGCGTGGAGCCGCCGCTGGGTTCCCTTCTCCGTGAAGGATAGTCCCTAACGAAAGCAGCGTTCGGGTCGCGTGTTTCCACGGCGGCGTTTGGGAGCGTTTGGCCGCGGCGAGGGCAGGCGCTGCCGTGGGCGCCGCTCCCGGGGCGCCTCGTGAAATGGCCCCATGCTGGGCGTAACATGGACGTGAGGCCGGGGCAGCGGAGCCGCCGGGAGATCCCGGGACACACACGGGATTGAACAAGATTGAACAAAACCGACCCTGGGGTTCCGGGATACCCGCCTGGCTTCCCAACAGCTGAGTGTTCAACGGGTCCCGTTCCTGCGGATCGGGGCGCCCAGGGTTTCCCTTGGTTGCAAAAGAAACGCTAAGATACATGTAAAGGGCCCGGTTTCTAGGGTGCAGGTTTGGACTCCGGTGATACAGGGCTGCTCAGAAAAGCGAGCCAGATAATTGATTTTCCAATAGCGCTTGGAGTAATTAATTGGGAGACATGACGCTAACTACAAATATATATAATATGTATGCATATACACACACCAAAACATGAAACAGAATTATTCATGTGTTACATTTTATATTTRTATAGTATTTATGCACATTCTCGTGTGTGCTTATACACGTGTATGTATACATTAATATGCATATATGTATATATGATATTCCCATGTAAAAATAATAGGCGTGGTTTTGAAATAAAAAACTTTTGGGAGAAAGAAGCATTTGCATACCTGTATGTTACACTAGATTGATGATATATCTCTTTATAACTAAGGAATTGCAAATGGAAGGAACAGTCCTTTAGGCAGGATGTGAAAAAGAATCCCTTCCCCAGTATCATAATTTTCAGTGGCCTATCTGCCAAAAAAACAAAGCCACCTCCTACACCTTCCTGGATACCACAAGCCCCAACTGCCCCCTACCCATCTGTCAAAATTTAGAGCTTTCCGTAGACARATATCCGCAATTCAATCATATGTAAAACCAATGGCATCCTGAAATTCTGGAGAAAAAAAATACATATTGAATATAATGTAGAATTTCATGATGACTGTTTTTTCTTTTGCTGTGTCTCCATCTGCTATATCCTTTCTTCTACTAAGCACGTAAAGGTTTTTGGATGGGTGTATGTGTTCTCTGAATACTAAATTTGATATTCAGGTCGTGATTTTATAGCTTCTTTACGCTTCTTCAACATACTTTGGTCTGCCTCCCAAAGGCCTTTCGGTACCTTGGCATTTTTGTATTTGTTTCTTTTCAAGTAGTGGCATAAGGGGTTTTTTTACATATATATAAAAAGCAGATAAAATTTTAAGCATATTGGCTTGGAAGACAAGATAATGAAGACAAAATCAAAAACAAAACAAAACAAAAAAAAAGGGGGGGGGGGAACCATTGGATGCCTGGAAACATATTTAGTCCAAAGCCATCCACACCTCGCAGCACAGTGATGCTCCTGTCTTGTCCAGCTGGTCTAGGGGAGCACGTGCACAGAAATCCCAGCTAGTGGGGAATTGCAGGACTCGGAATGGAAATAGAGGAGAGACACAAAGAAGACCTAGGATGAAGAGCAGCCCAGGAAGAGGCAGAAAGGCAGGGCAAAAGGAGGAAAGGACAGGAGTGACATGGAGGAAAAAGACAAGAACAAGACAGAGCTCTGCCATGGACTCCGGAGGAGGGACAAGAGATGGATGTGGCCTTTGGTGGTCAACAGGGACACTGGGATCGTCACAGAAAGAGGAGCAGGAGACACTCCTTTAGAAAGGCAAGAAGAGCACAAGGAGACAAGTACAAGGGAACGTACGGAGCTACCGGCACAGGAGCAGAAGGAAGGTTTGCCCCGGGAGAACAGGCCATACGTTATTCCTAAGGGGATGAATATTGCGTGATTTACTGCAGCGATTCCTGTGATTTACTGAAATGATGAGAGTTTGGCGTAGATACTGACCTGCTGAAGGAAAGCAGAGTCTCTGGCAGGTGCAATAAACTCAGCCCTGCAAAAGCACTAGGCCTTGAAGCCCCATTCCCACTCTCCACAATTTCCATGTTCATATTAACAGAAAATAAAAAGTCAGTTTATTCAGAAAAAAATGATGKTTTTTTTTTTAATTTTGCTTTGTTTTTTTCTTTTTCCCCAGCATGTTTCATACCCTATACTCCAAGCCTTTCCAGCAATGATATTGTTCAGAGATATGCGTATGTCAAACTAACCGTGGCGAGACAAGATCATGAAATACAGGGAATGTTGGGGATAGTTGTGGCATAAAACCCGGGGCATTTGCAGGCTTGTGCATTTGAGATTGTCATGCAGAAACGGCCTGCCCAAGCATTGGTCTCAAGACTCATAGAGACCTCAGACTAATCCTTTCTTTTTTTCTTTCTTTCTTTTTTTTTAATATATTTTGGAAAATTTGATGTATGCTTTAATTTACCCTCCCTTTAATGTTCCGAGATAACGGACCGTTGTCCGTTCCTGAAAACGCCATCACAGCGTCCCACCACGAGGCTCTAACAGGTGGAAACGAGACGGCACCAGAGTCCCCTGTATGATTTTAACCGGTGATAACGCACCGGGGAGACATCGGTCGGACTTCCAGCACAGCTACAGGGAAAACGCCCGGCAGGATTGGGCGATTTGGCGACGCTTTTGCGGCAGGCGATTGACAACGCTGCGGCGTGAGGGCAGGTCCCCCGGGGGGGGGGGATTTGAGGCGATGTGCGGGGCGGGGAAGCAGGCGACGCTCCCAGCGTCCCGGTGGAGCGGGACAGGGCCTCGCGCGGCTGCAGGGAATAACTCGTGCCCCGTGTGAGGAGGGCGGGCGGCGGCGGCGCCCCGCGGAGCGCGAGCCCCGTGCCCGGGCGGTGGGCGCCGCG